ATTTTATTGGGGGGGGGGGGGATTAAGAAATAATAGAAATTAAGTTTTCATAATAACAATAATAATAGTTTTTGAGCAGCAAATCAAAATATTAGAATGATTTCTGAAGGATCATGTGACATTGGAGTAATGATGCTAAAAATTCAGCTTTGAAATCACAGGAATAAATTACATTTTATAATATATTAAAATAGAAAACCATTATTTTGAATAGTAAAAATCATTTCAAAATGTTACCGTTTGTGTTGTACTTTGGATTAAATAAATACAGGCTTCGTGAGCGGAAGACATTTCTTTAAAAAACATTACAAAACTTACGGTTTAAAAACTTTTGACTGGTAGTGTATATATATTCTGTCACCATGTTTGCTCTGTCTTTGTCCGATCATTGTGTTGCTCACATCCATTTGTTTTCTCGTGCAGTTTCTGCTGTCTCCCGTTTTCCTGCATTCAAGTTTCTTGCCACTGTTTTGGATATTGCACCCACGATGTCTTGACTCTTGTGTTGTTTGTTTCTAATATACTGTTTAACTGCACTAGCAAGATAATTTGAAGTTATTTTGTGTGATAGTTAAATATATTCTAAATAAACTACAACAACAAAAATATATTTTTTCCTCACATTCTTTCTTGTAGCAAATTCCTCTCAGTCACACACCTGACTGAAAGGCTCATTATGCACCTCATTATGTAGGCCTTTGTCTTCTCAGGTGTCAATCACACTATTATTCATGATCATTCACGCCTTCAATACAAAAAGTGACTTTAAATGAATTTGTTTTCTGTGAACGAGTGAACAGGATAATTTTCACATCATTTTGAAGCAAAAACTCTAGTCTACAAGATCCTGTTCTCAAAAGTCTTGTGAACAAATGTTCTGTATGTGTTTTATGGCCTTATTCAAGTGACTTACATTTTTTTGTAGTTTTTCACTACCCATGCATAAACATTGCTTTGTCAAAAACACAATCATGTATATACAGTGGGTACGGAAAGTATTCAGACCCCCTTCAATTTTTCACTCTTTGTTATATTGCAGCCATTTGCTAAAATCATTTAAGTTAATTTTTTTTCCTCATTAATGTACACACAGCACCCCATATTGACAGAAAAACACAGAATCGTTGACATTTTTGCAGATTTATTAAAAAAGAAAAACTGAAATATCACATGGTCCTAAGTATTCAGACCCTTTGCTCAGTATTTAGTAGAAGCACCCTTTTGATCTAATACAGCCATGAGTCTTTTTGGGAAAGATGCAACAAGTTTTTCACACCTGGATTTGGGGATCCTCTGCCATTCCTCCTTGCAGATCCTCTCCAGTTCTGTCAGGTTGGATGGTAAACGTTGGTGGACAGCCATTTTTTAAGGGGGTCTGAATACTTTCCGTACCCACTGTACATGCTGTTCACATATTATTGTAGCCCAGTTTTTGCTGATTACAGTGTTATCAGACTTTAGCCATTTATATGTTTATAATCAACTGAAGAAAGCATAAATGTCAGGGCATGTCTAAACTTCTCCAGGGCCCCAAAACACCTTCGGACCCCAGAGGGTTAAACACTTGGGATATGCGCCTAATAACGCACATAATAACGCTGCTTGAATTTGTTCTAAATAAGTTCATAAGTACTAAATTGACTTCTGTGACTATGAATTATTTTAACTAGCGTGTTTTCCAAGATTACCCACCGACTGCAACTGTCAAATCTAGGCCATCAGCAAGGCGAATTTGACCGCTACTCGCAAAAAAAGTGCCTTGATATGCTTGCCTTATAACTTGTCAAAGTCTGTGGTTAAAGCACCACTTAGCGGTCAAAAGCTGGAAATGCACTTTGCAAATGTGTTGGTGGTAAAAACCTCACTCTGGTTGAGTACCTATCTGTATGAGCTGCTTTTAGAAGTCATATGCTGCATAAGCACGCCTTCACTTTTACACTTCAGGAGTTCTCACAATGCCTGCAGTCATGTGTCAGAACAGTAAGACAGTAAAAAACATTCAGTCCAAAGGTTCAATTAAAGCAAATGATTGAGAAACCTAAAGATCAAGGCCAGCTACCATCCTGCATAGAGTGGTCAGTCCTTCATCAAGCACACCTTGTTAAAACTACGATTTCTACAGAGAACCAAATGAAAAGCAAAGCCTATTGTCCCTTCACTTGGTTTGATTGCCTGGTCCGAACCAGAGTTTGATTGCTCCTCCCTCCGGTTTGTGCTCATAATGTTTTTTTTTTTTTTTGGTTCAGAACCACGGTACGTTTGCGTCATCTGAGTGGCAGCTGTTTACCCATTACTATGTAACGATTATGCAGAAGACAGCAAAATTAATGGATGCTTGCTCGCTTCATTTTTGTACTTCGGATTTTGAAAATTTTGATTTATTTCTAAACTGCCAACACAGAACGGCACGTGTCTATTTGTCGCTACTGTAATGCAAAGGTACAAAAGAACGTGGGAGTCACTTTCTGCGAGCAGAAATGAGATATGAATTCTCTCTGCTGCAGCACGTCAGTCACGCTTTTCAGGAAAGCGAGTGAGTAAACACATAAATACACAGTTTGACCAATTCATATGTCATTAATAGTGGTTCACTTCCGTGTTTTAGTACAATTTTGTTCACATCAGAAGCGAACCATACCGGGCGGACTCGGGTACGGTTCGCAGGTGTGCACCCGAGTTCAGAAAACAGCGTTCAGATTATCCAAACAAACCAAACGCTGATGTCAAACAAAACCAGCGAGCACCAAAAGTGCTAGTGTTAAAACCCCCTTACTTTTCTGCAGCTCACGGCTGAACAGGTAATTCAGATAAACAAGTGCAGTTGGAAATATGGAAAGTAACACTTAGCTGCACAGTGTAATCTGAAGAAGTCCTGCAAAAATTGTAAGCATATGCTAATATGCCATGACATCAATAACAAGACAGTCAAAGATACTTCACCACTTCCAAGTTCCACAACCTTATACCTAGAAAGATCTGGGACATATCCATGTTTTGCTAAAAGTTGTGCTGATATACAAGAGCCCCACCTTGGACACTTAGATGTTCCTTGGTCAAGTTTTTATTTGCTGCAGTTCAGAAGCTTAGTCTAAAAGGAGAGGAGGAGGAACTATCCCTCAGAACAATGCATTGAGATGTGTCAAAACTGCAAGGTTCTATTCTATACCAAGTTTCATTCGGTATACCTGCAGTGGCATAAGCCCCACAAGACTTATCACATAAATCAAGCCTTTACAGCTGACCATCTAAGATTGGCACAACAGTCATACTCTATGGAGGCACCTGTGAACAAGTATAAGCACCATTCCACCCTATAAGCACTATTCCACCCTTTTGAGAAAGTTCACCCACTCCTGCTGACTGGTGCTGACCAGTCCAGTTTGTTTGGGACACCCCATGGACACTCCATGGCCCAACCAAGCTCCTGCTGAATCCTCTTTATCCTCAGCAGATCTTTTCTGCATCAGTGTCATCCCACCAGGCTAAGCCGATGAGAAATTAGCACCGCCAACAGTTGAAAAGTCTCTCAAATAACAGAAACTAGAACAGTGAAAGAATGGTTTCTCTATTTTCTTACATGTCATGAGGCTGGTCTGTTTTGTTCCCAGGATCGCTTTAAGTATGCTGCATTCTGATTGCACACTGATGGTGAATGTCCACTACAGCAGCAGAACTCTGCTCACAGCCGCTAAAAAGGCTACAATGCCCCAGCTTTAGGTTGCCTATAACAAGTGTTTAATTTATGTTTTTTCAGCACACGGTCAGTATAATCATCATATATACAGTTGGAAAAATTGTAAGTGAAAATATGTATATTAAAATTTTTCCAATATCAAACTGAGCCTTTTTAGACCATATAATCAAGAGGCCATAAACAAAAATTTGGAAAGAATTCAATATTTTGTTTCAAATATGTGTAATTTTCATTTTTAATTTCACAAGTACACAGACCCTGGTGAATTTTTTTTTTTGTTGCAGACCCTGAGGACAACTCAACTTCTTTTTAAACAGTTTTCCTGCCACTATATATCAATACTTTACTTTGCTAACACTAATGTGTTATAAGCATGTATGAGGAGCACAAATGCAAAAAGTCTTCAAGATAAGCCATCTTGTTATACCTACCTCTGGACTACTTTTGTAATGAAGTCATCAGTGCAGATCAAAGCATCAGATAAACCCTTGTAGAGCTTACAGGCTACCTGTCTCGAGTCAATCACCTCCATCACCACTGAGAGCAAAAACAGACTGAGTCAGATATTAGACCAGGCAAAACTATGGTAACTTAAGCTCACACTTAAGTTAGTTGTCATTGTAGAATAGGGGTTTTCAACCCTGTCCTACAGGCCCCTCAGCACTGCACATTTTGTATGTTTCCCTTATTAGACACCCAATTCAGGTCTTGCAGTCTCTACTAATGAGATGAGTTGAATCAGGTGAGTTCAATGAGGGAGACATACGAAATGTACAGGGCTGGGGGGCCTCCAAGACAAGTTTGCTGTAGAACAACACTTAAATGTAAAGTGTGGTTTCCTTACCACAGACAAGTGATTCATTTACAGGGTGTTGAAAAGACACACTAAAGCTCGAGTCAGTTAGAGGGCACACTTCAAACCGCAGCAGTCCAGGAGTATCTGCTAAAAATATGAAATGATGGTTACAGCTTGTTTTTTTGTATTTCTAGTACGCTTTTTGCAGTCTTATAAAAGGTACAAAGTATTTTTGTTGCTAATACTAGAAAATAAGTACCACATAATATTAAATAAATAACACAATAATGAATTGCTTATACAATCAAATGCAGAGCTCGACAATAAGGACTGCCTGATGGTCCGGGGCCAGCGTGAAAGACGCTCGGGACAGTTGATGAGTTTGTCACTGGCCCTATCGGGCTACTGCTGCATAGTCATGAAAGTTTATCATTCGCACGAGTTTTTAAGTCTTGCTCATTTAAAATTCAAGCGTTTTTAAAGCATTCAAGCAAGACGTGAAAGACAACTCCATTCAGAACTCGCGCGCTGTGTTTTGTGTGTACAGTGCGCATTCTTGAGCTTGAATGGACAAATACATACAAAAGTATGTCGAAATACCCGTCTTGTCGAGTAACTTTGTAGCTTTAATGATTAATCTATATTTAATATATACAGTGGAGTACAGATGCACCAGTCGACTGCCCATTTTTTGTTTTATTTCAACTGATTTATGTTCTGGGCTTGCACACAAACTGCACTGCAATCATCTTCCAGAATGTCATGTGTGGAAATATTATGAAATGTGTAAACGGCCATTAACAGAGCCAGAGACACTGAAGATGGACGCAAAGAGAAAAATACTGTAGCAGGCAGAACAAGATCACTGTTCAAGATGCGCAAAATATTGGAAGAAAAATTATTTAATTGGGGGTTTATACGAATGCACCTCTGAGGAAATGACTGTTTTTAGAAAAGTTTAGATGGTGTTTTCTTTTTATCTTGTCTCTGTATAATGCATATTAAAGTAGTGTTCATAAGCACAACGCTGCTTTGTTTAAAGTAGTAACCAAGGAAACGCTGTATCGCTGCTGTTCTATAAGTGCCACCTACTGTCAGAGAGTGAATTTGCATCTCATTCAGCCCGTCTGTGGTTTTTCCTCAAGCATAATTTAATTTGTATCTTTGTTCTATATATTCAATTCATTGTTTATTTGTTCTTATTTACTGACTGTTTCTTGTCTTTAAAGTTCCCCTATTATGGATTTTTGAAAATTACATTTCATGCAGTGTGCAATGCAGCTGTATGTGAATGTAATCAGTCTGCAAAGTTGTAAAGCTGAAAGTGCATCTTAAATAAAGTTATTGTCTCTCAAAAGAAAGAACCGCTGAAACGAGTTGTTTTAAATTCGAATCCCATTCCGCGTATTTCACACGTCACAAATTCTTACATTTGCATAATGCCCGCCTACTTTCTGCGTGGATATAATGCAAAAACAAGTCTGAGAAAGTGAATTTGGTTTATTTTCACTTCCAAAGGATGAGGCTGTGAAGAATCAGTGATTAAAATTCATCTTTACTAAGATACCATAGCTGTATAATCACAACATTTTGCTGTGTTCCCATCATTTCACTGACGACTGCATCGCCAATCTCCGCAAGTTCAACGTGGGATTCGTAAACTGGTTCTCTTTGAAAGATGGGTCAGTGCCCAGTTTGTTTGAAACAGTGTGCTCCTTTAAATCACAACCTGTAAGTATGATTAATAATTGTTGCATTGATGTGTTGTCGAGCGTGCAAAATATGTAGTTTTGTGTGTTGTGTATACAGTCAGTGCACCTATAAGTCTCTGGATAACTCACGTTATAGTTCTGCTAATCAGCTGTGGGCTCGCTATTGTCTATAAATGTGTCGCTTAATATAGAATGTTTGTTGTACTTGGAGTCATGATAAAGGATGGCGCAATACGTTGGTTTACAAACTGCAGTGCTTTATCAGTACTCTATGTGTGTGTTCGGCTAACGCATATACCATTATTGTTTGGGTCTTTACTACCAAGCTGTGGATCCGGTTCGCTAACATAAGTGTAAAACAACTTTTTCCCTTCTGATTCCTTCTTTATAGAACAGAGTCGAGAACTATTATTATTATAATAGGATGTATTATTGATAAGTTGCATTCCAGTATTGGTGATGGGCGTTCCTTTTCTGACATGCGCTGTACGCAGTAGACCAATCACAACAGACTGGGTCATCAGACCAATCAGAGCAGAGCAATATTATGCAAAGGAGGGTTTTGGAAAGATGAATCTTCGAACAAATAGTTTGAGAGTAGTTGAGAAATAACATAAAATTAAATTCATATAAGAAAATTAAAGTGTTTTTTGACCTTGCATGCATGTAAACCTGTTGTTGGGAACTCCCAAAACCAAATTATAAACATTTCAAATAGCATAATAGGGGCACTTTAATAATGTTTAAACTTTATATTTGTTAGGCTAGTAGTTTTTGCTGTGGTATTTAAATTGGAATCGAGAAATGTAAAATTTAATTGGTATCTAAAATGTTGGTATCATATAAGATTATTTATTAGAATAAAATATTACATGGGTACAAAAACGATGACAACAGCAACTATTTTATTTTTTTGTGGCAGGGCCAGTGAAAATATTGGCAGGGCAAGTAAAAATTTTAACCACTGGCCCGACCGGGCCAGTAGAAATAATCCTTAGCGTTGAGCTCTGAAATGCAATCATATTTCGCAATGCAATCATATTTTATTCTATAGGTAGTGCATTTTCAGTAAATCTAAATGTTCCATCAAGTACTGGCAAAAGCATTTTTACTAATCTACCAGCTCTTATGGAGACAATTATTATGAAAGACAACACACCCACCTTCCTTAATGTACGTTTTTTTGACGCAGCTACCAATCAGCGTGTTGTAGGCAGCCTGGTGTCTTATAATGTCGAGAAGAGCAGGCACCTGAGCAGGATGTCTGAAGGGAATCTTGGAAACGTAAGCTCCTTGAAGAGACCTCCCATCCTGCACTGGAGCATCACCATTTAGGAAATAACAATGCTGCTGTCCTGGTAAAGACTAATGAGACAGAAATGCAATAAATTCAGAGAATCCGATGGACATAGTCATAATGATATACTGTTTTAATAGACTGTGGTTTATTAGTTATACAATAGAGGAATCATGTTCTGCTCAGAATATATGGGTAGTTGACAAATGCATATAGACAAGAACTCATTTGCTCACCAAACTTGGCTCACTAAAATATAAATGTCAATATAGACACTATTTAAAAGCTAAATAAAAACGGACACATCTATCTATTGAGAGAGAGAAAGAGAGATGAATCAACAAACAGTAACTTTACAAACGAAAAACTTCAATGGTGTCTAATGTGTAATACTCACTGTATAAAAACGCATTGATTGGGCCAAAGCAGGAGGACTGGCCTCTCCCTCCTCGTGCAGTTGGCTCTTAATGATGAGATCATATAGTGGGGACAAGGTGGGCACTGTCTCCAAAACAGGGATGCCTAAAAAGATGGGGGGAAAAAAGGTGAGGTAGAACTATATAATGTGGTCCTATATAAACACAAACAAAGCTTACATTATTAACTCGCACTAAAAATAAAAATTTCAGATACAGATCCCCTGCTGATTTTGTAAGTTTGCCCACTTACAAAAATGAAGGGTCTGTAATGTTTATGGTAGGTTTATTTTAACGTATAGAGACTATCTATAGAATCTAGAATATCAACCAAAAAATCCAGAAACAAACACATTATATAAAGCAGGGGTGCCCAACCATGCTCCTGGCGATCGACTGTCCTGCAAAGTTCAGCTCCAACCCTAATCAAACACACCTGAAGCAACTAATTAGGGTCTTTAGGATCACTTAAAAATTAAAGGCAGGTGTCTTTGATTAGAGTTGGAGCTAAACTTTGCAGGACAGTCGATCGCCAGGAGCAGGGTTGGGCACCCCTGATATATAGGATAGAAATTGATTAGCATTTCAGTGAATGAAATAAGTATTTGATCCCCAAGCAAAACATGACTTGGTACTTGGTGCAGAAACCCTGAAGTTTCAGCTACCTCCAAAGATTTTCTATAGTATTGAGGTCTGGAGACTGGTTAGGCCACTCCATGACCTTAATGTGCTTCTTCTTGAGCCACTCCTTTGTTGCCTCGGTGGTATGTTTTGGGTCATTGTAATCCTTGAAGACCCATCCATGACCCATCTTCAGTGTTCTGGCTAAGGGAAGGAGGTTCTCGTCCAAGATTTTACAGTACATGGCCCCGTCCATTTGCCCCTCAATGCAGTGAAGTCATCCTGTACCCTTAGCAGAAAAACAGCCCCAAAGCATAGTTTCCACCTCCGTGCTTGACTGTAGGGATGGTGTTCTTGGGGTCATAGTCAGCATTTATGTTATTTATGCACATGCAAAACTAAAATTATACTGAAAAGAAAAACTTAAATTTAATTTAAATCTAATTTAACATTCTAATTTTGTCTAGGCCACTCCATGACCTTAATGTGCTTCTTCTCGAGCCACTTCTCGCATCCACTGCTGTAAATCCCAGTTTAGTTAGAAAGGCAAGGGTCCACTGAACAACATCCCATAGAGCTCATTTAGTCCAACGAAACAACGTTGTAATATGGATGGTTATTCCATTGTTTACATCTAATTTCTTCGGGGAGAGTTATTGTTAGTATCCGTTATGAGCTTATGAGCTTACGCTCAAAAAACTGCGTCTTGGTAGTAAAAAACAACATGGTTTTGTAGCAGACAGGGTCACAAACAGAATGAGACCATCCACTAAAAAAAAAAAAAAAAAAAAAAAAA